AAATGCGTTGTTTATAACAAGGTAAGGCAGATTAGTCGTCTCTAAAATCTGGAAAAACCTTAAAATACACTATAAAACACAGGACCTACGGTCTATATTAGAACAAACTTTGAAAACGTTAGAGACAATTCTAACAATAATGATAAATTTACAATGGCACACACCGTGTTTTACTATGTAAGCACAAATAACTTAAAACGAGATCTGACAACGATTACAATACCATTACACACTTCAATAAACGTGAAATAAAGGCATTTTGTGAAGCTAAATGTTTTTTATCGAGCGCAAAATGTTTTGGCCATGACGTACACGGTGTTAGCACGTTAGATCTATTTATCTCGCGTAAATATGAATTATGAACATGAAAAATAAATTGTACATGCGTTGCCAAAATATTTTATAACAAGTATAATTGACTAAGGAATACTGTTGACAAAATACTTCATAAAGGCATATAAATTGAAAAAACGTATACGTTTCAAGATGGATCCTACATTGTAAGAGTGAAAAACAAAAAACTACACACAATATAATTTACAATTATTACAGTGCAATATGCACTGTAATTCTCAAATAATTTACAAAAAATAATAATTTGAGATAGGGTAAAATTTTAACAAATTTATGATCAATAAATCCCTATATATTATGTCTTGTTTGTATGTAGTCAGTTTGATCATAACAGACAGGTTGTTAAAAAAGTAAGTCTAAAATTTCATGGGTTAACCCGTGATATGTAACAACTTTCCCTAAGGAATTGTTTTATGTCAAAACATATCACGAAATGGACTCGTTCGGGAAATTTGTACATTAAATATCATGGGGTCGTCCTCTCCATAAAATTTAAAAATTAAGACGGTGCGATCGTTATCAGTTTGCAGTGAATTAAGATAAAACTAATGTTCAAAATTCACCTCGTATTTTACCTATTTTAAATCGAGATCAAAAAAGTTTCTAAGTGACTGCACTCAATCTTTAATCAAACATTGTTGATTCAATATTAATAACTTATAAGAAATGAGTTCATAAGATTCTTTTCCTACACACTAAATTCTAAACTATGTACAGTACTGATTTTTAAGTCCAAGCTTCGGGGTCATACGAGTTTTACAGGTGAATAAAAATGTTTCAAATCGTAAAAAAGTCGCTACAACAAGCCTTTTGAAAATTGTTGACCCTTGTAATCTCATTATTCAAATTCAAAATTAACTGTATTTGTTTTTGACACCTTTTTGGGGGACACATTTTGTTAGTCTATTATTCCCCGTATACTATGGTCTATTGTTGTTTTGATGTTTCGGTTGTTGTTGACAATATTTAGGCAAATATTATTTGCAACATTGTGTAAATTTGAATTGCCATATGGCAATCCAAAGACCATACGTGTAAATGTGATGAAATTTTATTTTATAATGGACCTAAACTTCCCCCGGCAACCTACGCAAAAAATAAGCAACGGCCAACATTGGGCTTCGAAATAATGGAAAAAAGAGACTTCGCGATCGGTCCGAATCCACCATTTTGAACCTTATACAAATTCAAAGTATTGTAAAGGTTCCACATTTACGTTCCTGCCCAAGCACTGAAGCACTGTGCAAAAAAAAGGCACGTCGCAGGTAACGGGGCTTACCACAAAAGTTATTTTTTTTTACGTTTGTTACGTTTTTTTAGTTTACGTGCAACATAGTGCAATTAGTGACATCTGTGCTTGCCAATGTTGTATACAGCGGCTATGGCTTGGGAAAAATTGCAGGCCGAGCTAAATAAAATAATCGCTTCACGTGGTACTACTACCAGATTATTATAATTGGTTAGTGATTTATCTCAATGTACTCATTGCATCTCGTTAACAAAACGCGAGAGATTGCTAACCGTCTTCGTTATGTCGAGAAATTTTGTACCTCAATCCAAAAGATGCCGAAAACGTTGAACAAGTTGAAAATAAGTATTCCATTTTAACCATTCATGTCAAGGCCATAGAAACAAAAAACTCCGCCACCTTCCCGCACAATTTGTCAACACGACTAGATTCCTTTCATCAATCTATTGGATTCAACGATACGCAGAAATAAAAAGATATCAACTTAGAATGCGATCAAAATGAACCACTTGTTTTTATTACTAGAACTCAAATTCAGACAACCTCACTGAAGGTGATTTGAGTGACACGGACACACATAGACAACCACAAATTACACCCAACCTTACGAGAAAAATAAATGTAAGCACATATTTGTCTTGGCTCTAAAAGAGGCAGTCAAATTCCCAGCTTATGTGCGTATACAATCCCCTAAGTATTTTAATGGAAATTTTATTTATTTTTCCAGAAACTGTGGCGCTCTCCTGATTTGAACTGGTAGTACATTCTTCCTTCCGACTGATTAAATAGGGTTTTATTTTTCCTGACACGTAAATACAAATAGAGCGCCTAGAGAGTAAGCACTAACGGTAATACTACTTGAACGAGAACTAAAGCTGAAATCTTTTAAAAATTTACTGCTCAAAGTTGAAACAATTACGAACAATCTTATGGGGAAACAGCACAGACACGCAAAAATTATTTAGGTTGCAAAAAAGATGTCTCCGCATAATTGTTAACATAGACGAAATGACAAACTGTCGGTCATTCTTCGTAAAAGAAAAATTGCTCACCCTCCCATCCTTATATATATTAGAAATAAGTATTTTTGTCAAAAAAACATGTACCTTTTCCCACAATATGATAGGCCAGATAATTTGCGTCCACGTCAAAGATTAATTATTTTTTTAAATTTAATTAATTATTTAAAAAAAGTAAGTTGACTAATGTTAAATATAATTCTAGAATGTTTTCACCTGAACTAGTTTTTAGGTTGTAATTTATTATTATATGACATACTTAATACGTATTTAATATGACCTTTTGACGATTGCAAAAATTTATATTTTTAATTCATTTAAATTGTAATACAAATTATATTCCGATTTTAGATTTGACATTGCTCCGCCCTTACAGGGTTCATGTTGATCTATACTATAAATTTAACACCTATAAATGTAACAACGTGAATGCAATAAAAGTTTTGACTTTGACTTTGACATCAGTCCTTCAATCTATGTCTCGATGGGTGCCAGCGCCACTTTCTTCCACTCTATTTTGCGTACGGGTTCATTTAGTAAATGGCAAAGAGTCAGAGTACTTTTATTTCATCCTATGTACCTCCATTTCCATTTACGGTCTAGGTGCGTTAAAGACCTGCTTTAGACTCCCCAAATACGTCTGAACGCTTGACATTAACTAACAATTGCCAATGATATGCTACGTAAAGGATTGAAGACTGTGATATGAGAATTATGGACGTAGCAAATTTGCCGCAGCATGCTACGTCGTCCTAGGAAAGTCAGGTTGCCCATGAACCAATACAGTTAGTTCGCTACAAATATGTTATTAAGAAACTTTGTAATCCCATAATGCAGTTGACTAGTTCCTTATTTACTGAAAAACTCCAAAGCTTGGACTTTAGATGTGGTACCGCAATTGAGACTTACCAGTATAAATACAGCTCTTTCAGAGTAAATACTTAATTTTGCAACGATTCACAGAATTTCTATAATATATGTGCTAATATAAAATTTGGTTCAATTTAAAGTATTAAGTTTAAAAAGTATTTTAAATTTCTAACAAAACTATCTACGAACTGGCCAGTTTACAGTGAACATTGTAATAAACTCGTCAAAAATAACATTTAATACCATTCGCTAGAGGGGGTGTCCCTACATGTCCACGAAAGAAATTCGATGAAGTTCGGTAATTCTGAGACCACATTGACGGCAAATACAAAAAAATACATTAAAATATAGCTTCTTTGACATTTAACATACGTAACTTGACTTCGCTAAAGAAAGAATTTCTTATACAGAAACTCAATACGCGACAGTGGGATGTAAGGATGTACAGAAGTCTACTTTTTGTATTTTCAATTTTTGTTTATAAATAAAAAGTAAAATATACACAGGGTTACTTGTAAAATACTAACAACCTCTTAGGACTATATTACTAACATCATAAACAACAACTTCTTTCACCAAAAATTAATTTTTATCGGAATCTTTTTAGATGTGTATTTTAAGTGTGCGTGCGGTCATAAAAATAATTTTGTTGGTGGGTGTTTTCTTTTGATACCGCACGAAATTACCATTTAGAGCGATCTATATTTAAATATGTTTATGTTTTGTACGAAACTGAAATCGATGAATTATTATTTAGTGATGGAACAAAGTTGTAATGAATGATGTTAGTAATATAGTCCTGAGAGGTTGTCAGAATTATACAAATTACCTTGTACGTCGAGTTCGTAGGTTTTACACATCGAGTATATAACCAGAAATAGAAACGAACTAAGGGACAAAAGAGAGTTGATATAAATATCAACTCTAGTTTGCACTGAAATTACAAATTAGAAAGCTGAAATAATGCAGCGTCAACAACTGACCTGTCTCCGTATATTCCAAAAATATTCTGTATTTATTGTAATAAAGATAGTTATCTCTAACAATGGCGTGCTGTTCCATTCGGTGGTGTGGGGAAAAACAGAAAAACATCTAATTACAAAACGAACGGCATCAAATTTCATCGGTAATTAAATATATAGTTTTGCAATTTTCGTCCATTATAGAAATGCTCAAGGTAAACTGGTCGATTTGAAGTGAAACAATTGACTACACCCGTCAATTGTTTCGATTTCCGGCTGGCCAATCGGAGCGCAGTTGTCACAGTAATGATATAGCAGAATAGTTTTCAAACAAATTAACTGACATTTCGTCTCAATTTCTGGTTATATACTCGATGGTTTTACACGACTGCTACAGAGTGGAGATAAAACTATTCTTTCCAGACTTAAAATCGCGTATATTCTTTTTACCAAACGGTTCAGGTTCTCCACAGGTTCCATGGACAGGGTTGAATGTTTGAAAAAGTATTTTCATTTCCAAAAAAAAAAACATAAAATTATCATTACACAAAAAAGGATAATTCAATCCACCTGAATTTTAAATATTTATCTTGCTTTCTATAATTCATGGACCCACTATCAGTATATACAAAAGCTATATTTTATCCTACAAATCACTAAGATTCCTGTTCAACCAATGCCGCCTGCGACAAAGATATCTGTGTATTCGGCATTTTTCTAATCAATATCATCTTAATACACGGTGCTAGTAAATATACCAAAACTCCACCGGCTACAATGGATATTACACATAAAGCCCATTGGGCTGTTTTTATTGACAGCGCCGTGTCGGGAAGGGGTGTAGTGAGATGGCAAAGAGTGACGAGAGACATTGACGCATTATATGGACCTGATATGCGGGAGTTTGGACCACAGTTTGATGTTTGAAAACCGATCCAGCCGGCTGATCTGTTGAACGTCACCTGAAATGTTAAAAGAACAAACAAAAGCGAGATTAGATTGTGGTCTTTTAATGACAATAATGTTAGAAAATCACACTACCCAGTGTCATAGTAGAAAATTACCTGTATGTACTATGGTTACTCTTGAGCTCTGCGTGACACCACAACTGTTATGTACAGGCATGTAGCTTACCATCAGGTGCACGACTTGTTCGTCCCATCACTTGATGTTATAAAAAAAGAGTACCTTATTTTTTTCAACAACTAAAGTAACAATGTGACAAACCCCACACTCCGACCGATACTACTTGATGGTCTTACTCAGTTACTACAAAAATGCTAAACAGTACCTCTACCACGAGTTTACTGTGACAGTTGTCGCTAGCGCCCTCGTAAATTACTTGAAAATTTTGTGTAGCAAATTATACAGCGCCTCTAGCGGTCACAAGAAGAAACAACAATTTGTATACAAACATTTTACGCTGTCGCTAGCGATAACTGTACTATAATCTCATGGTCGAGATGAGGCATGGACGACAGAGATGATAAACGTACCTGATATCCCTCCATAGCGGTGTAACCGAGTACGGTCTCTTTCCCACCAGCTTCTATTCCCAGCTTGTAGCAGTATTCCGACACAGTATCACGGTTGCTACTGCTATTACGCGCCGTCACTACTCGCATGTAATTCTGAAAATGTTAATCAACTGACTTAAATATTTTTTCTACAAGTTAAAATTGCATTACGGTATAGTTAAAAACTATCAAATAAAGAAACTTCAATTTAAATAATAAACAACAAAGTAACTAAAATTATTCACAATAGAACTCTATAAGTCAGAATAAATAGCACTACACTGAACACAAAGACCAGTTCACAAAGTTGGTTATACAAATTGGTTCTATCGAGAATCGAGTCCAGTGTTGGGTCATGGAAAAATTTCCATTTTGAATAATCTCAGTACAGAGTACTAAAAAAACCGCCCTCAAAAGTACGTGGGATTAACTCTATTGAGGTGGCTGATTTTCGTCATAATTAAATGGGACCACTATGGAGGTTCTTTCCAACAAAAAAAGAATCATGGAAATCGGTTCACAAATACCGAAGTTATCGCGTACATACATACAAAAAAACATGCAGCCAAATTGAGAATCTCCTCCTTTTTTGAAGTCGGTTTAAAAAATCTTATTTTTCAGAAAAATACTTATTTTTCCAAATATTTATCCACATGTGACAGTTGACACCTGTCAAAAGTTCAAGATACTGAACGAAAACGATGAAGCCATTATTAGGATTTTTTTTACCTATGATTCTATTTTTTCGCTGTTGATGATTGTAATCATTTTAAATGTCGTTTTTCTCTAATTTGCTTTTATCTATACAATTTTATTTTATAATGCACGCTAAATAAAATTTCAAAGATATTACTAAAAGAAGAACATAATATGAGCATCCAATTTTTCAGAAAACTTTTCCGGAAAAATATCCACTATTTGAAATGTTTCGGAAAATTACACAGCAGTAATTGAGCCCGTGAAATCGTGTGTTTGGCATTTAGATATTCGTATATAGCAGAAGATTGGTATGAGAGATTTTAAACCAGTAAACTGTACCTGAGATGGAATCTCCAGCGTGAAGTATTGTCGATCATTGTCAGCACTAAGCATATCTATCGCTAACCACGGCAGCGACCATTCTCTTGGTTCCGGCCAGCAAGCTGCCTGAAAACGAAGAAACATTTTTTTTATTAAGTTTATTGAAGTCACGATGTTTCACCACCATGATATTCAAATTATTTTTTGTGAAATTACTGCACTAGTTTGTTATGATTATTAATATAAACATCGAACACTTAGAAAAAATCCGGCTGGATTCGAACCAACGTCTTCTAGCAAGGCGTGCCAGACGCTATGCCAAGTAAGCTATGGAACGAATGAATTTTTCTAAGTGCTTGTCGCAGATCTTTGTTTTGTTTTTAACGACTTTTTTGCCGTAGCGCCATCTGTGAGAAATCTATTTCTTCACTAAGCTAGGCACAATTTTTTTTTATTAACTCTCATTCTATGCTCTTGGTTACGTCATTACTGACAAAGCAAGCAAAATTATATATAAATTATATACAAAAATTAAATACAAAATTATAATTTTACTATGTATATAGTAAAATTATAATATGTTTAAATCTAAATAATCTTTATTTCATAGGTAAGCATATTACAATTGGAATGATCACATTGGTTACACTTTACTCATTCAGAAGGCAGATACCCGAGAAGAATGAGTAACAAACTTTAAGGGTTGGTCTATGCAAATAAACATTTGCATACATTTATCACTTACAATATTTATTTCAATTACTATAAGTATTATAACGATTAAGACATCCTGCAAGAGTCGAACGAGTCAACATTTAGAGTAAAAATTCTTATTTCACTATAGTTTTAAAACTCGTTAATGGCAAATTTTGAATAGCAACCGGAATCTTACACGTTGCCCATTAAATGAATTGGTGACTTTGTGAAGAGGACTGGCAAGAACAACCTGACTGTTATTCCTAGCGTCCGCATAAAATGTTTGTATACAATATATTGTTTCTTCTTGTCAATTTGCCATACAAAATTGTGAAGTAATTTACGCGGTCGCTAGCGACAACTGTCACAGTAAACTCGTGGTAGAAGCATTTATTTTTATTCCTCGTATTAATGTTATATTTATCACTACTTTTCATAAAATGTTACTATTCTTCTAAATTAAATTTTAATAATAAACAAATAATTATATCTTAATTACCTCTCCGTGATACCAAAATTCATCCAATATCAGTACATTGGACTTTTGAGCTGCGTATTTGAGTTCATCAACTACCTGGAACGCGAAAACGGAGTAAATATAACCAATTTTTCTTATATTTAATTTAAGAAGGTGTAACAATAGTTCCGATTATATTTATGCAGGTTATTATGACAGCAAAAAAAGATTGAAAGCGAACATAGAAAACCTAAATGTGTTTTCGCGAAGTTCACAAATTGTTTTCCTAAATTTGATCTGGCCTTTTGTCAGGTGCATCTGTAGCCATATTGCAACTCCGTAGTAAGAGCGTAAAAATAACTATTTATTTTATTAATCTTTGTCTAATTAATAACAAAAGACGTGAGTACGTTACAACATAGTACGTAACGCAACATGTAAAAGAAACTTTGTTACTTTTCTAATATAACTGAGGCTCATCAGAATTGAGTCTAATTGCAATTCAATAGTAAAAAAACATTCTTGTATTATACAACTATTATAATAACTAATTAATAACAAATAATGTGGACATATCCACATTATTATTGTACCATAGTACAACATAGTAAGTAAATTACTTATAACATGTGAAAGAAAATTTGTACTTTTCTGATATCATCGAGGTTCATCAGAATCGAGTACATTTTATTAAATGTACCTTTCTACTCCTGCCTTTTCAGTTAACCTATGTGGAGTGGTATGTACAATTAATTAAAAGATTTCTGTTTGATAAACTAGCAGTAAACTCATAGAGATAACACCCTACTTTTATTTTTATTTTTTTTTAAGATTAAAGAGTATGAAATTCATACCTGTCTAAAAAGTACATCAGGCAACCTTATATTAGTCGTCCCACTATCAAGTATGCTCTTCTCATCATTCAGTTTCTGACACATTTCACCAGAATTCTCAGAGCTTTCATCCATAATGTACTGTTGAGTTTTTGTTGTATTGGATAACACTCTAATGGATATCACGCCGATTTCATACCAACGCTTGCGTAAAATTGGCGTACGAAATGTTTTGTTTGTATTTTTGTTTGGGTCGTAATCTGGAATTACCATTTCTTTAGTATTAAGCGTGAAACACACAGAAAGTGGATGCAGGTCGGGAGCCGGTCTGGTCGGGACCGCGCTCAGTGTTTTGTCGTCCATATAAATACACGGTATTAGAGCTGCCCGCTCTCCCGACCCGACCCCAGCCTGGGGGTCTACTCTCGATCTCCGTCCGACATCCGTCCGAAACAATTACTGCCAAATAAGCAATACTTGACCAAATGAAAAGACGCGTGATGCGAATGAAGCTACATACTTGATCTTGGTCTTTTAATTTTGACGAATATTACTTATTTGACAGTAATTATTGCGGACGGAGATCGAGAGTAGACCCCCTGACCCGCATCCACTCTCTGTGTGTTTCACGCTTTAATACTGCTGTAATGAAGTTGTTTTTAGCGTAACATACATACATTGCACGTTAATTAACTCATTCAATGACAGTAATGGCGTTGTACGTAAAATTAAATATCAGAATATGGTAGTGTGGGGCTCGAGGTACTCCGTTTAGCTATATGAATTTCGAAAAACCAACTACAGGCTTTACAGTGCAATTTCCAAGTGCCTTCTGTGTAGTTGCCGCCTACTACTTCTCCATAGAAAAGTATCAACAACTTACTGACAAAATTTAATGAATTGCACGCACGCATTTGTGGACGTTACGTTAAGACAGTACGATAGACACCGATGTGTTTGTATTTATTGCCATTGAACGTTTTAAGAGCAAAAGTAAGTTTTAACCAATTTTTTTTCTCTAATATCGATACCAGAAGTATCAATTAATGTAAGGGACAAACCACGGTTTTTCAGGACAGCCAAAAAAGGATTTTTTTTTAAATCTGTCTATACCTAACTTTCTACTGTCAGCTCCAATTTTAATTGTGTCCAGAGCAAAGTTTCTTAGAATTTCCTCTTATTAGGAAGTGGTTTAAAATATAGCATGTCCCTTTTATTAAAAAAAATATGTTTAGTTGTGCCCTAAGTTACTAATATTTTATGTGTAAACCGTCGAGAAACCGAAAATTATACGTAATTCTATTGTAAACAATCCTTTACAATAGAATTGCGTATAATTTTATATTTCTCTTTCATTCCTAAATTATATATATAAATAATAATAATAACAATCAATAGAGCGGGAACTTCCGAATCCAATGATGTATGTAGTGCGATTCTATTTAATTACTGTACCTGAACGGGTTAAATAAGCGACATTGGATTGTACAGTTGTTGTTGAAGTCATCGAAAAAAGTCGAGTCAAAAACCTATCCCTTAACCATCTAACTTAAAGGCTTGACATTCAACGTGAACGTCAAATGCAATTCTTTAAACTCATTCATGAACGTACGTCCGAAAAGGGAATTACGTGTTTTATTCGAGATATCTTTATCTTACTTTCATAGATATAATTGATTTTTTCAAAAATTACATAAAATGCATGTGACTTAATGAGATAAGATTAACACACACATTTACTTAAAGCGAGGTATTACAATGCCAGCCTAGATTTCAGGAGGTGAGGTGTGGGGAGGGTGTTACGTCCCACAATCCGCGCGCTGTAAATTAGTATGAATAAAATAAGAATAGGCAGAGAAATTTTGGCACAGATCCGACGTCGACAAGCGCCCGATGGCAACTACGGGAAGTGTCTTTAAACCGCTGGGCAATTTGCAAAGTAGGATAAATGCGAATTTAATAGCTAATACGGCTTCAGTAGGAAACCAAAATTTAGCAGGTTCTCTGTAGTACTTCAAGTGAAATATTTCCATATAAAAATTATGTACAAAGTTAGATATTTTATTCTTAAATAATTCGTTTAACACTTTTATTTTAGCCTGTTTTCGGATTTTATATATGATCGGACAAAGTACATCCTATCATGTAACAAATTAGCAAATTTTTTAGACAACATTAGGTGTATCATATATTTTTTGTAAGACCGTTATTTAATTAAATACATAACCATTTAATCTAGCAAAATAGTTTTTCCCGCTTCTCCTCGGGTGACTCACCTTAAATAGAAGAGAACTTATGCTTATTTCTAAATTGATTTCAACAATGGAATTAAATTATATTTAGTAAGCAAACTGATTGTACACTATTGGAATGTTATTATTTCTAGGCATACAAAGAAAAAATTGGTTTCCAATTTAATTAGAAACTAATAGTTTTTTGTAATTGAACAACCTACTTAAACGTTGATTAGTATGTTACAATAATTTTTTTTAAAGAAAATTATTTGATTCCTGTCCTCTTCCTAAGTTTCATGCTTAATAACGATATTAATCACACAATAAATTCAAACTAATATCGTCGCCTTACTTTCTCAAACTCGTATCTTAAAGCACGAAGTTACTGAAATGCAAAAAATAGATTGTATATACAAATTTTGCAGGCTGATTCCACATCACATGTCTTTCATATTCACATACTGGCCTACTCTTAAAGTAATGCATCCAAAATAACAATCTTGATAAGAAATTTAAAATTAACAGAAAGTTTAGCCATCTTCATAATAATCACTCTTTATAAGACACGAGTTTGAGAAAGTAAGGCATCGATATGTGCCTTGTCCTACATATGCAGGATGAGTTTAAAATCACCATCCAAATTCTCGTATTACGTTATATGTTTTTTTTCTTTTAGATACACGGTACTACTGAGATATGGCATCACAATACAATTACAGCCACATGTGCGCACGCGGCAACAAGTTCGTATCGCCTGCGTCTGCCGCCTTCATTCATAAACAAAACTTGCTAATTTTCTATTCATACTTTTTGTGATTTTATTGTAAAAGGCTTGCGCTTATTCTCTTTAAAATGTAATCCGACACGCCTACCTATAACAATTACAATGCCAGTCGAGAGTATTAAGCCGCGAATATACGATGCGCAATGCGACTGCGTCTGTCACCCTGAGACATAAGCTGACTAGACCCATGTGCCTGTAATTTCACTAGCACCCTTACTGTGCTAATTCGACTTAACATTTTCTAACCTAAGCTAACAAATTGATTCTTTGAACGATACCTAATGTGTAAAAAAAATTGGATGGACACTGTAAAGTCACGTTCACCATCAATCATCCGTATACAGGTGGGTGTATAACAAAACACAATCTATTTCTACTTACCAAGCAACATAAACCTTCCATAATGGGTAGCATTATAAGCACTCTTAGGTCCACAGAGCTTCAGCTCAAATGAGGTCGGTAAGTTCACAGTCCTGTCTAAGGAATCAAGCCAGGATTCCACTACAACATTCTCGCCCCTCGCTCCTACCGGTAAATAGGCTAGACCTAGGAGTCCCTGAAAATGTAATTCGCAATTTACATTATAGCACCATTTGATTATTATAGTATCAATATCATTTGATTTTATATATACTGCCCTACGAACGAAAAAACGTACGAAAAAAGACAACTACTGTGTCAAATAAGTATAGTTGTTCCTTTTTTCGTTACGAGGGCAGTATAGCCCATTTGTTTAGGTACTTAACTAAATGTAAGCAATCTTGAGATATCTATTTAATGAAATATACATTTATAAAATGCTTTTTACTTACCTTCAAATACAAATTACAAATAATTAGCTTCATATGAAATTGCTTTTAATTTTTAACTCTATTCATTTGTAAAGTACATGTTTCAATAAAAAGATGTATCAAGATTGTTTACATTTAGTTAAGTACCAACCTAAACAAATGGACTATAGCTGTGCTTAGAATACATAAAGAATTTTGCTATAAGTACAGGGGCCTTTATTATGATCTATTTTTTACAGCCTCTGTAACATAAGATATGACGACGGAGCCTCATCCTCTAACAGGAATGTCAATCTGATGTTCAAAGTCAAAGTCAGATTCTATACATTTCGAAAATAAATAAATAAAAAATTCACTAAGTGTTTCAATTTCGAGAGACGATTAATGGTTAATTTTATTGTTCTATTTTTGTTACTTTCAAGTGTATCACAAAAAGTAATTAAGCTAATAAACATTTTAGTTTACTGTTAAATAAATTCATTATTCTTGCATACTTCATTTACTTACATGTAATATACAAAAATATAAATATGTGTGTGTGTGTGTATATTTAAGTATAAAACTAACCTGCCATCCCGAACCGTTCATAAAGAACTTATGACTCTTTGTAATAAGAGCTACATCAGTTCTGACTTCTGGCACATTTGGGAGTGATGTGAACTGTATGAAATCGGACACTAGTTTACCCACCCACATGCCTTGGGAATATTTGGCGTGCACCTGGAATTTTAAGAAAAAGTTACGAGGTGGTATGGTATTGTATAATGGGATGGTATCTACAATTCGACATCAAGATTCCTATTCAGTGTGTGGTAGATGTAGCCCCAACCTCTTCCAGAAATTTCAGCATGCTCAAATTGCAAGGATATATGTACATAGAGCAAACATAATATTCAATATATAGCTATACACAAATGAATCATGTGAAAAATCAAATGGTATCTGTGACAACTGTAACTACTAGGGACTAGGAAAGAATTGTATTCATTGTCTTTTAATATGGTATATTTCCACTATACTATGCATACTAACAATCTTCTTGCTTTAATAGTATTGATGAAAACATTGTAAAGTAACCTGCATGTCTGCAAAAGCACAAAATAAAACTCTAAAAACAAAATAAGTTATCAATCTGTAAGCATAATCCCAGCCACCAAATGTGTTAATTACCTATATAAATTACATATGGAATACAGAAAAATACAAATTAATATTTTTAGGACATTACTTACAACTGTGCCAGTGTCATAAATGCTGGTTGAATTTTTGGAGTTGAAGTACTTGTCATTGTCTTCACGAGGGTATGAGGCAATAGCTAGCGTAGTACTGCCAGTGTCTACTATCACATTGAGCTACAAAAAATTATATAAACATATCAAGTTCTTATATTAAGGTATTATATATAATAAAAATTCATATTGTTAAAATAAAATCATTTGTATCATCTGTAGCAACTGGAACGTTCTTTGGAAAATTTGAAAATAAGGTATTTAATTAATAACTTTTGTAATTACAGTGAAAAATATGGTGGTTTGCATTTTTTTTATTCGATATAACTGGTTGATGGCTTTAACACCTCAGTCAACCGTGACAAAATGGTAAGGGGCCGGAAACATTGGTTCGTTTAAAAAAAAAAAGGAATACATGCAATTTAAATCTGGAAAAAATACTTTCATTTCCTAATTATACAAACAAATAAATTATAAATTATTTACTGCTACATACTACTTATAACACCACTAACTTTTTTTTTTCAATTTTATGATGACACTTGCACTTCTCCCTCCACTGTGGAGGAGCTGTGAAACAAAAACTGATAAATTTGATGAATTTCAATTGTAATTTCATCTAGTCTCATAAAATGGATTTATCGCATTTATATTCAAGTCCATGCATTAGAGAAATTTTAGCAATTGCTGGTCAGGTGGGATAATTTATTCATAGAAATGTAACAACACCACCACTTGCCATTATAAAAAAAAACATGTCAAAATGTGACATCAGTTTTTGTTCCAGCGGTTCTCAATTCTCTGCTACAACTCTATGTATCTACTTATAGTAAGACAGTGCAAAATACAAAGATGTAGTAGTAGAACCCAAACAGTCTCTTTCTTGTCATAATTATGTGGTGTAATAAAGTCTGAACTTTATTACACCACATAATTATGACTGAAAGTGCATCAACATTCAAAAAATATTAAAAAGTTGTTGTTTGAAATACTAGGACCTCTTCTACCCGCAACGACCAAGTATAGTATGGAGAACTACTATTTCTTTACAAAAACGAGCTTTATGAAATGGACACAAACAAAAACAATAATAAAGCCTTTTCTTTCGGAATATTGTTCATTGTGTTAGCATAAGGTTCCTTCATTATATTTTGTTGGCAATGTAAAAAGCTATTTATTACACAAGCACCAGAATCATGGTGTATTTATATCACAAAGAGAAATTTGGGTCAGACGGTAAGAAGGGGGGCACTATGGAAACTGGACTTAATTTTCCGGAAAAGTACTGCCTGCAGAGAAATTAATAATTAAAAAATGTTTATTTAGGTCTAATCCATACGAAACAAACAGAAAAAAACAATTTAAAATAAAATTTAAAAAATCTTTAAAAATACTTCATAATAATACACACACACAACATAATCTTTAAACTGTATAGTCCAACAACAAAATTTGCCCTATTTCTCACACAAAAAGACATTTCAAACTATTTCTTTAGTTAAACTTCCAATTCCAAATAATTCGTTTTGTTTCACCAGTGATTCAGTATTTATATGCAAAATCCATTAGGAAATCTGATTAGTAATAATATTTTTCATGGCTCAAACCTTACAAGTAGTTTAAAAAACGTTAAAGATTACCTGTTGATGAGGGTGTCCTAGGTTAACCTCTACAGCGTATGCCTGTCCAGCTTCTCCATATAAGTTATACTCTTCACCAAAGGTTCCATTAAGCAAAATAAATAGAAAAATCTGCACACAAACACGTATTCTGTACATGATCATTTGTTGCACATTAATGTCTCGTCTTCAAAGCACAGTAACAAAAACTGAACAGTGAACATGAGTGAACACCTCTGTTTTTGTACCCAATTGATTTTTTTATTTGGCAAACTATTGTTATTCTCCTTTTTTTTCCATCCTCTACGTTATTCTCAATCAGATGCATGAGCGAATGATGAATGAAACGAACGACAGGGTTGCCAGACGGGCACGGGATTTCTCCGTACTGGCCCATTTAAAATTAGTTATTTTTGATACAAGTGCGGAAAGTTAGTCATTATTTACGAGTCTCGAGGCTTCTCAAGACTCGAGATAAGTGAAAATGACAAATCCGCACGTGGATCAAACGACGGTTTTTAATACATTTAGAAAAAAGTACATTGAAAGTAAAATAAAACAATATTTTAAGAAAAGCTCATTTTATTTCTTTGTCTGTAAAAATTCACAGTACTTTTTTTTAATTAATATATTGCTGGCCATGGAAACAAAGCCCTTCAGCCGAAAACATAAAAATAAGTTTTTCTGTAAATATGGCCGCCACAAAGAGGATAGGCAATTTGAGGCGGTGTAATTGGATTGACTCCAGATTTCTTAGAACGGGCCGATATGGGACTTTTAGTTCGAGATTCGTATAATTTCGTGTTTTAATCTTCGATTAAGGCACAATAGCACTATCCTATTCCACTTTAAACTAGATTTCACAAAATAATTTAAAGTCAAAATAAAAACGACACTTTTCCCTCCAAAAGGTCCAAAGCGAATCACCAATTCAGAGTACAATGGCAACTGTTGCCAGTATTCAGCCACATTAAAATTACTATATTAATGACGCGGCGCGTAGCGGTCTCGCGTAATATTTATCTCCGGTTATTGTTAATACTCAGCCATCTTTATGGAAAATATTTTGGTATTTTTAAATGTAACCCGTTGTTTTGCAATTTAAGCAAATAAGATGTTTAAATATAAGTTTTAATGACGAATGACCTTATGTCACAAAGCACTAATATAATATAATATAATATTTATTATTAAATACATATACAACCTCTTTAGTTCTATGTTTAAGAATTGAAAAAACAGTAAATTAAAGAAAAATGGAAAAGTAAAAATCACTAGTGCGAAAAATCCAACTTTCGGCACGATTTGTAGTACGAAAAATAT